GCAGGTGAGAGTGACCCAGTTTCAAAGGTTTTTCTGAAATGATGATATAAAACTTATTCTTGCTCATATCATTAACAGAACCAACAGCTTTTTCCAATAGTTTGAATTAGAAGAGGAAATTGGCTTCATTCAATTATGGCGCGAACAGGAAATATTACAGCCTGTTTCCTTATGAATCTGTTATAGGATACCAGAAGTATCGGTAGGCCTTCAGATAAAGGAACCCAGAGAGTTCTAGGCTTATTGAGTATTTTTTCAATAAACGATTTACTCCGAAACACAAGTGACTTTTGAATGTAGGAAGCACTAAGTATGTTGATTTAATCTGTATGACACGGTACGAACTATATTTTGCTTAAAGAGCTTAGAATACACATGCTCTAAGTTCCGAATACACCAGAAATGTTTTTTTGCGTTGGATTAGTTATAGAATTTCAAGCAAACTGTTTGCTAGTGACTGAAGCAGAAAAAGTTTGTGAGTCGAAGAGATCAACCTGCTTCATTCACAAGAATCGAACAATCATCTATTTAACTCTGACCATTTCACAGTGACCATCAAAATATACTTTATCCAAGAATAAATAAATCAAACGAAGAAAAGCATGTCATTTTGCATCATAACAGGTTATACCCTTTAATTTTCTTCAAAATTTGAAGTGTTCTGGTTTTCTCGCGTCATTTTCTGTTATTCTTTAATATTATTTAAATTCTATTGGCTCGATTTTCATTCTTTCTGAGAGCTATAAATACGAAGAAATTGCGGCATTCTTCTCGCTCTAATTTTACAGTCTATCCTGTATTTTTCTTTTTAACGCTATTTGAATGGCTTCCATCTCTGCTCTTCCTACAACTGACGCTCCTTCGGATCAATCGGAGAACCGTTTTTTCGAAGATTTTGATAATTACATTGATTCGCTAAAAGAAAAATTTCGAGAAAAACACGTAATTAAAAAAAATACTTATGATACTATTATGACCGTTTTGTCATTGGAAAAAGGTAAGTCATCGAGATTATTTACTCCTGCTTTTGCCTATTGGGCACGAAAACATTTCGAGAAAAACGATGTGTGTAGTGTGAATGTGTTGTATTGCTTGTCGAGTAAAAAGCCTGTCTGTGTTTATCAAGGCTTTTTTAACATAATCCAAGAATGTCATCACAATGTCGCTCATGGAGGTCGTGACAAAACTGTGGCGGAAGTTAATTCTCATTGGTCATGCGTGCCGAAACGAGCCGTGGAAATCTATTTGAAACATTGCAGTGCTTGTCAGTTGAGACAGCCTGTCAAACAGCCAACAGTATCAAAACCCATTATTGCTCTTGGATTTCTAACTCGATTACAAGTCGATCTCATTGACTTTCGAACTCGTCCTGATAATGTTTCTCAAGATATGAAGTATCAATGGATCCTTCATGCCATTGATCACTTTTCCAAATATACTTTTCCCTATCCACTCAAAACAAAGTCAGCCGTTGAAGTGGCACAACATCTTCGTCAGCTATTTTATACCTTTGGTCCTCCTCGTCTTCTCCATTCGGATAATGGATCCGAGTTTATTGCTGCCATCGTAACCGAACTCAAGTCCTTGTTTCCGTCAATGTCCTTCATTCGAGGGCGCCCTCGCCACCCCCAAAGCCAGGGAGCAATAGAGCGTGCCAATGGTGTATTAACAGACGCTTTGGGAAAATGGATGTTTAGCAACCAAACTGATCATTGGAGTGAAGGACTGATGCCGGTGGTATATGGTATTAATACAAGAGTTTCTCAAACAACCAAAGTCACCGCTGATGAAGTCGTTTTCGGCCAGAAAGCTCGATGTGATAGTGACTATTGGTGTGTTGTTAATGAACTGAATTGTGTTGAAGAAGATGATCTACCAACACCAGTTGAAGTAGGAGATGATTACAAAGATAATATGGACAAAGATGTGAATAATGTTATTGAATCATTGTTGGATCTCTCAGAACATGTGGCTCCTGCTCCTCCATTACATCTGCTAGACGCGTCAATCTCTATCATTGAAACAGAACCTCAAGTGAATCCTCCATATACTGCCGACGTCTCTGTTAATCTTATGTCATTCACATCACCCACAAAAATACCTGTTCAATCATCAACAAAAGCTCTACCACGTAGTCCTGTCTTTAATTTTTCTTCTTCCTCGTTGTTCAATTCCAAAGATGATAATGAAGAACAAGTTACAGAACCTAAAGAACAGAAAACTGGCTCACCTACACATGACAACAAATTATTGAATGATTTGGACAATCTTATCAATTTTGACGATGAGCAGTTACCTCGAACTACTGCCGCACCTATTGTCGTTTCTAATCAGCCAACTGGTATGTCTGCACCATCAAGATCAGTTCCCATTACATCCTCTCCAAAATCTCCAATTCATCATCCTCTGCTGTATCAGAGGCATCAAGACACAAAAGGATACGAGAAACAGCCGAAAAGAATTATTTACAAACGGCCAACAAAAAACGAATCAAATACGACCAGCATCTGAAGGCAACGACAGAGAAATTCAATATTGGTGACTGTGTCGGGTTGAAAATCGACTCTGTTGATAGAACAAATGCCGATCCAAAATTATTGCCATGCATAATAACAGCCAAAGAGAAGAAGAATGATTCTCAAATATTCAAACTGGCTTCTCAATACGGCAAATTGGTCACTACCTATACAGCTAAATCCTTGGTAGATCTAAAATCTTCTTGTCTTCCAGAATTGAGAGCTATAAATTTGGATCAACTGGCTGATATAAAGTTCATTGAGGCGTGTAAATTATTTGCTCGCGGATCAATCAGTGGTAAAACATGTGACTGCAAGGGTCAATGTCAAACGAAACTCTGCTCCTGTAAAAAACAGGGAGTCTATTGTTCCACAAAGTGCCACAGTCGTCGTGGAGGATGTAAAAATATTTCATAGTGGAAAATGAAAAGTTTTTGTATATAACCTGATCAATGTCTCTCTCTCTATCTCTAGTTTCTTTATTTCTCAGCTTTCACTCTCTCTTCTGTTTCCATGCCTCATTCATATATATCAAGTAAATGGTGCCGTTATCTTTATTTTTTCTCTCTCAACTTTTCATAGAATCTCTTTATTCTTTAGAACAACAAAAAACTTTTTTTTAGCATAAAAAGCATTAAAAAAAATAAAAAAATCACAAAATAAAAGTAGATTTATTTCGCATAACTATCGCTGATCTATTACAATGAGGGTTGAAGTCATTTCGTGTAGTAGTTAATGATGTTAAAGTTTCGTAATTCGCTAAATTATAGATTGCTAGAGAATGGATAAGGAACGGTTGGAGTAAAGACAGTAACAGTGGTGCGCAAATAAATCACAAAAAAATAATAAAACAGAAAAAGTAAAAAAAAAGCATGTGCACGACCATATAGGACTATTCCGTGCCAGCCACCTTTACGCGGTGGAATAGATAAGTACCAGTTGCATGATAACGGGAAACTAAGTGCGGGTAAACTTTTTTCCTTTGTTTAGAATAAAAAAAGCTGTTTTCAGCCTGTTAGTAACGAAGAGAAGATACAAGACATAAAGATCGAAGGAAACAGGCTGTAATATTTTCTGTTCGCGCCATAATTGAATGAAGCCAATTTCCTCTTCTAATTCAAACTATTGGAAAAAGCTGTTGGTTCTGTTAATGATATGAGCAAGAATAAGTTTTATATCATCATTTCAGAAAAACCTTTGAAACTGGGTCACTCTCACCTGC